AAACAATGCGTTGTTGAATAAAAATAAATCTTTAATAAATAAAGGCTAAGCCCCTGTTTGAGCTCCATTATAATTAAATTTTTTGAAAATTTGTATTTTGTAATAGTAATTTTTTGAAAAAAAAAAAAAGTGTTGTTAAAAGAGAAGGAAAAGATTTTTGTTTACATGTATTATTCTTTTATTAGAGAATGTGTAATTGGAAAAAATGAGAAAATAAATTTTAATATTAATGAAGCACAAACAGGGGCTAAATATCATTATTTTTAAGCCCATATTTGATTCACATTATTTTCAAAATATGTTTTTCAATCTCTTTTTTTAATCACATATTCATTAATTAAATAATATTACACATAAACATAAAAATATTCCTTATGTTTTAATCATTCATTCTCCATCAATCTATTATTCTAAAATGTATTCTTAGTAAAAAATGAGGCTCAAACAAGCGTTAAATTCTAAAGCAAGAAATGAAGGAGTCCTTGCTTATAAGCCATGTAAAGACGAATACATATATAATAGAGCATAATTTAATGCTTGACAATAATCTTGAACAATAAATATTTTTTGGTCACTTCAGATTAGAAAAAGTGTGCTAAAAATTACAAATTCACCGAGTTTTTAAGATAACTACTCTTGTAACTATCACTTGTAATCTATCTGCATGGGTGTGTCCACACCCCCTTGAGTGGACGAGGAGAAACAAAGTCATAACTCTAATACCCAAATTAATTGTTCCAATAGTCATTGAATTTAGGTTCATGTCTTTGATTGGTAATTAAAATGTCGAATTTTGATCATTAAATTAGGTTCATATATTTGATTGCTCACTGAAATTGAAAATGTCGAGTTTTTGGCATTGAATTTTGAAAAATGTTGTACATTACTTACTAATGTAAATATTGAACTTTGAAAAATGTCGAGTTTATAGTGAGTAATGTTTAATATTTTTCAAAGTTCAGTGACCAGAATTCGACATTTTTAAACTTTAATGAGCAATCGAAGATATGGACCTAAGTTCAGTGACCAAAACTTGACTTTTGAAACTTCAGCGACCAATTAAAGATATTAACCTAAGTTCAGTAACCACTGGAACAATTAACTCCTAATACATCATAAGTATAGACCCTACTAAAAAATAAAAAATAAACGATTTGAGAACACTGTCAAAAGGGGACGGCCTAGTGCTGTGTTGGCAAAGACAACTTCTTGGGTTCAGGATGGGGAAAAGCAGATATGGGGATTGGGGTCGGGCCTTACTAATGAAGATCTTTATATTGGTGCTTTTTTCTATTACTGCACGGGCTTTGTTATTTTTAAGATAATGTTAGCGTGCTTGCAAAATCGATTTAGACAAGCTTCAAATTCACCATTCACCAGGTATTCGACCCTTCAATTTGCAAGATGGAGTAATTGATGAAACCAAAAGGGAACAAAAAATGTCGTGCAAAAGAGACGTGTGAAAACTTGAGTACAAGGAAGGCTAAATCATTGAATTTCTTACTGTAATATATAGTACCCAACAGAACTATCATCTCAACCAAGTACACAGGCCTGTTGAAAGGAGCAATCTAAAGAGAAATAGATGTACATGCTCTCAACTGATTCAAAGCATAAGAAAATCAGTTTTAGTTGTATAGTCTCATGAGTAATAAGACATCAGATAATAATAAAAGATATATTTTAACTGAATTCTCATGTGAAGACAAGTACAACCATGAAGAAACATTTACCAAAATAATTAATCATAGTTGGTAAAACCGGTTGCTTATTTAATTCAAATAGAAAGGGGCAACTTTAATTGCTAAGGACGTGCATCAACATAGAAAGTAAAGGAGTGTATGAAACTAAGTATACAAATTGAAGTGATCAAAAGACCCAGTATCTTTTACCTCAAGGCTCCTCTAGCTTTTTAGTAACAAGGTGAATGAAGCAACACAAACGTGTTCATGTCTTCCCTCTATGGATTCCTTCTTACCAGCTCCATCAAGAATAATAGTGTCATCCTTGGATATTGTGACCTAGAACATGTAAAAGCGGAAATAAACTTCAATCAAGACAACAAAAACAACCTAAAAAAAGAATAAAATTAAATTAAAAAATAAAATAAAATTTCAATGAATCACTAAAAGCTCAAAAGCATAGCTATAAGAAGAGAATGAAATGTGTTATTGGCAATACAATTTACCATTTTTATATGAGCCAAGAGTATCAAACTCCACATTTTCCAGATTCAATTGAAGCTCCTGTTGTGACCTAATAAGGTAAAATAACCAACTAAATAAGTGTTTTGGGGAAAGTAAAATTGCGTAGAAGTAGTAAATAGCATACTCCATCGAGGCGACAAGATCCTCCAAATTAACCAGCTAACAAGTGTTTTTTTTTTCAATCTTGCCGCCTGTACAGGCCCTGTTTCACAGGGTTGTATAGGCCTCTTACAATACATGGGGGGTGGGGTAATTTTATTCTTTTAAATAATCACCCACCCACCCCATCACCCACCCAGCATGTGAGTGGGCATGTACAGGCCCTGTGAAAGAGGGCCTATACAGCAGGAATTATTGCTTTTTTTTTCATGCATGATTTCAAAAATTTTAGTTGTTTTCCATCTCATTTGCACACAGATGGCTGGTTTCCATGCCTTGCGAACAAATTTATAATTGATTTTATGTTTCTCCTTTTTTGTGATTAATTTTTCTTTCGTGTGTGAATCTCTTCTACTAGAATAGTTTGGGGTTTTTTTTAAGTGATTAAAAATACTACAACAGGTTAACTCTCTTTTTTCTCCTCGTAGCTTTTTGGTTCCCTTATTTTATTTGAATTAGTTTCTGTTTCGCGCGGGTAGTCGTTAACAATTAAAAAGGGGTTAGACGATTGTGTAAGGGACAAACCTCTTGAGACAAAGTCCCGAAAAAGGGTATTTTATTGGCAATAACTTTACAATTGAAACTTAAACACAAATGCCTCCAAGGGGCAAGCACATGAGTACTGAAAAAAATGTTTTAAGTCTAAACTAAGGAATTGAAATTACATATTCTCTATTTGAGAGTTTGATTCGGGGTCTTTTACTCTATGTCTTTTCTTCCTTTTATATTCCTTTGATTCTCTCTTTGTGATCAATCGTTTAGAAACCGCTTAATTGCTTTATAATTGCCCACTTTCTCCATGGTGGCCAATTTATCGTGGAACTGCCGTCTCTAATTGCTGTCATTACTCTTTGTCATTCAATCGTCCTCAACTGAACATCCTTGAATCGTGGAACGTGATAAGATTACCCAATAACTGCTTCGATAATTGCACTTTTGGATAACCATAACATCTCATGTTTACTAAGATCCTGGGCGATTCGAAAGTTTGGACGAAAACAGGGTCATAACTCTGGGCGACTGCAAGGCACTTCATTCGCTCAGATCCTGGGCGTCTTGTAAGTTTGGGCGATGGTGTTACTGCGTTCGTGGGCTTCCACTGCATTCATTAATAACTCTATTTGGGCCTTTATCTTGAATTGCCCAGTTGGGCTTCATTCTTTGGACTATTTGAATTGGGCTGCACTTTTAGCATGTCAACAATTACCCCCCAATATGGCAGAATTAATACCAATTATTAATTTTTGCCATATTCACTTTGTGTTTCCCAACAACATTTGAAATTCCCAAGAATTTCAATCATTATTTTCTTCTATAACTTGAAAAGGCGCGACGTTGCAAACCCTTATAACCCCCAAATACACGTCATTTCATCGCACTACTAAAGCACGCCTCATTGCTTCGCGCTTCTCTCTCACAATATTACTGTTCATCTTCTTACTTCTCTGCTACGTTTCTCAAGCAAACTTCAACAAAGCTTTATTTCGTTCCTAATGACTGCTTCATAATCCTAATCTAGTGACTCTTTCAGTTTCGAAGACTTCCAGAAACTCCTCACTCGGCCATATATAACTCCTAACTTCCTTGCACCAGCCAATGCCGAACTCAACGAGTTCTATCTAGGTCCCTCATTCAATAACGCCGAGGCCGTCGAACAAGTGGCGGTGGGCCAGCTATTTCCTTATACTCAAGGCCCTTCGTTTTTAAACTCTTTGCCGCTGAGGCCGCTTCATTAAAGAAGTATTCGCACTTGGCCTAAATCTGATACTGTTTTCCGTAGATGGCATGCTCGCCTTGTGGGCCATGGTCCTACCAAGACAATTTTTGATAATGTTAGGATTTCTGATTTGCTAGAAATCTCTCTTCAACCCCCCATTTTTGATTCAGCGCTTTTCCCTATTGCATTAAGTTTTTGGTCCTTTGAGTATAATACTTTTGTTTTTCCTCTTGGTCCCATGTTCATTATTTTAAGGAATGTTGGGGCCTTAATAAATTTGCCACCTTTGGGCGATACCATTTTCCCTGATATTTTGATTCTGGTATCGCCCCAAAATTTGACAAAAAACTCACCCAGTCCTATTCAAGCCTACAAGGCTGTTATTGTAACGCCCCGAAAATTTTAAAATATAAATGTATTTATTTTATATGTTATATTTTTATTTTGAAAAAAAAAATTTGGACTAAAATGAATTAGATTTTAAATGCATATTTTATTTGTGTCAAATAATTAAATTTTGATAGAACGAGATTTTATATATCAATATTGGGCTCGTTGGATAACTCGTAATTAATTATGTATGTTAGGCTTGAGAAAAAGTCGATTCGGATATGTTAGACTAAAGATAATAAAGTTTATGATCCTTGTCAATTATTGGTAGTTGTTTATAATTTTAGTTGTGAATTTATAATGGATACCAACGTGTAGGCCTATATAACATTTTGGACACTTCCTTGATATAGTACACTGCATCCATTATTTGGTGCCACCAAAAGAGTAAATTGTCCTTTACTTGAATTAATTAAGTTGGCCTTTCCTTTCCTTGTATTTCATTAGTTGATGGACACGTTAAATTTTAAATTGAAACAATGTGTAACTTAGCCAATTATATAGTAAATGTGTGTCCATATACGGTGATGGAAGAATTATGAATGATTCATAGGTATATCTCACGCGGATAATTATGACATACCTTAAATAAGAACATCAAATTGGGAATAATAGATGAAAGATTTTTCTTTTAGGTTTTAAATGCATATTTTATTAAATTTCGACAGAGTGAGTATGAGTATATCTATATTGGGCTCATTTCGTAGCTCGCATTCAACAACATATTTTCGACTCAAGAAAATTTAAGTTCTTCTAAGTTAAACCTAAGTTTTTTCAATTCAAAAAAACGTAGGTAATAAGTATTATGTTTACTATTTAATAATATTTCTTTTAAGATAACAAGGAAAGAAAGTAATATTTTATCATATAATTAACGTTTATATTTGTTATTAGAAAAAGAGATTCAATTGTCTTAATTGTTATTTACCTTTTATCCACCAACAATTCAATTTTTTTTTCTTGTGCGTGATTTTAGCATTTTACAAAATGAGAGAGAGAGATATTTCTAGTTGACTTGATTGATTGATGGATAGAGGAAAATGAACTTCACTTATTGTAATAAGACTTTTACCTTGATTTTGGAATATAATAATAACTTAACATTTAGGACTTTTGATGTTCCCAAGATAACACACGTTTCTTTTGGTCTAGCTTTGAATAATTTATTATATGTACTTTTCTACAAATCTCTTGGCATGATTCATGGCAGTCATGACCTTTGTACTATCAGTGTATCAACTGTCTTTCAATTAGAATTGAAATAATTGCCTTAATTTCATGCACGTGAATGTGTGAAAAGAGCATAAGCAAATTTAGCTATTTATGGGAAAACGCGTAGAATACAATATAAATGTTATGAATTATTTTGTGTAGAACAAAGATAGTCACAGATAGAGAGGAAAACAAATTGGGGACGTGAATTTCTTATTTTCAACAATCAAGGTAGGATACTTTTATGTGCAAGTTGATTGTCCTTATAGTATTATGATTTTTATACGTGATTTATTTCATGAAATGCTAATTGACCTGTGGGTCCCAATGAAATGAAATGTGAGATTGCCTTTGGGTCTTCTCAAATGTGCTAGAGCTTTCGACTGATCATCGATTGCTCTTGATGAAATGATGGTATGAAATGTTATGAATTTACGTTTTAAAAGTTATCTTATTGTTTGGACGCACGTATTCTACTGAGTATAAATTACTCACTCCTTCAACTTCAACATTTTAGGTCTGTGCGGTCAACGTGGATGGTGGTTGGGCGGTGCGTGGGCTGCCAAGTAAAATATAATTTATGTTTTAGAAAATTCTTTAATAATAAAATTTTTAGAGTATTTTTTTTTTTTTTATATTCTAAACTTTGTGACATTGTTTCAATAATTGAGTATTCAATAAATTAAGAGTTTTAAATCTTTGAATTAAATATTTCCGCTTCAAGTATGTGTTGTGAAATGATATTGGTGACACCCCAAAATCTAAGTCAATAAAATTTGGGGCGTTACAGTTACAATCACTCGAGTGCTGAGCCTTCTCATGCTGAGCGTGTGACCTTTCTTCAGATTTGGCTTTGTAAATATATTCTGTGTATACCAAGCCTGAAACCTTCTATAAGCTATTTACCCATAGCGCATGAATTGACGCGTAGTCGGCCTCTGAATTTGTGTTCTTTCTTTTTGATCGCCCTCTAAAGAGGCACGGCTTCTCTCTAATTCCAATTGAAGAATGGTGCATCTCCCACTGAAAGTGGGCCTCTTTGGTTCACTCAAATGTGGTTGAAAGCCTATTTTCCATCACTTGGTGCTCTATCCCTTTCCCTTCATTCTGCTAGTTGTTATGGGCTAGCTATTGACCCACTGAGCCCTGTACATATGTCCAAAAGGGATATTTTTTCATTCTTTTATACTTTGAATTCAATTCCTTCTTTCTTTCCTTTTCCTCCCTTTTTAACTCATGATTATGTGCATCCCCCATCTACCCTGGACAATGCGAGCACCTCTCTGCTCGTTTGGGTTCAGTTTTTTACCGGGAGGGAGTTGTTCCATGATATTTTGACTGGAACTAATGCCAAAGCTGAGATTGAAATATATGCTCCCCAATTTTTTGCTCGTCAACTTGGTTTCGGCCAAACTTGGCCTGCTCTCCCTTATTATTCAAGAAATTTGATAGATCGCTTCTACACCATAAATAAGGTAGAGGCAGAAGCTATAAATGCTCGCAATATTCTTTTGACGAGTAACTTTTCATTAGCTCCTTTCAATCCTAGCCATGCCACCCATCCCCTTTTT